CATTTCAACAGTTCACAACATCTTCACTGGAAGTAGATTTCATCTCAAGAGTAAGAAGCAACTTCTCATCCATTAAAGTTTTATCATGAGATTGAAGCAGTTCAGTCACATACTTCTCTCACTATTTCCACCACATTTCCACTGAAATCTTGAATCCCTCAAAATCATCCATGAGGGTTGCAATCAGCTTTTTCAAAATTTCTGTTAATATTGGTATCTTGATCTCTTCCCATGAATCACAAATGTTCCTAAATGGCATCTAGAATCGTGAATCACTTCCAGAAGCTTTTCAATTTACTTTGCCCAGATCCATCAAAGGAATCACTATCTAAGGCAGTTACAGCATTATGAAATGTATTTCTTAAATAGTAAGACTTGGAAGTTGAAATTGCTCCTTGATCAATGGGCTGCAGAATGGATGTTGTGTTAGCAGGCATGAAAACAACATTAATCTCATTGTACATCACCGTCAGAGCTGTGGGGTGACCAATGAGCAGTCATATTTTGAGGAGATTAGGCGCGTTTAGGGTGGTATGGCCATAGACTGAGCAGTCATATTTTGAAAGGAATCTTTTTCTGAGCAGTAAATCTCAGCAGTGGACTTAAAATATTCAGTAAATCATGATATAAACAGATGTGCTGTCATGCAGGCTTTGTTGTTCCATTTATAGAGCAGGGGCAGAGTAGATTTAGCATAATTCTTAAGGGCCCTAGGATTTTCAGAATGGTAAATGAGCATTGGCTTCAACTTAATGTCACCAGCTGCATTAGCCCCTAACAAGAGAGACAGCATGTCCTTTAAAGCTTTGGAGCTAGGCATTAATTTCTCTTTAGCTGTGAAAACCCCTGTATGATGTCTTCTTCCAATTGAAGGTTGTTCCGTCTGCATTGAAAAGTCTGTTATTTAGTATAGCCATCTTCATTAATGATCTTAGCTTAATTTTCTGGATAACTTGCTGCAGCTTCTACCTCAGCACTTATGCTTCACCTTGCACTTCGATGTTATGGAGATGGCTTTGCTTAAACTTCACGAACCAACCTCTGTTAGCTTCAGACTTTTCTTCTGCAGTTTCATCACTTGTCTCAGCCCTCATGGAATTGAAAAGAGGTCTTGCCCTGGATTAGGTTTTGCCTTGAGGAAATGTTCTGTTCTATCCAGACCACTAAAACTTTCTCCTTATCAGCAGACAGCCTGTTTCACTTTTCTTATCTTTGTGTTTCACTTTTAATTTTCTTCGAGAACTTTTCCTTTGCATTCACAACTTGGCTATTTGGCACAAGAGGCCTAGCTTTCAGCCTCTGTGGGCTTTCAACATGCCTTCCTCACTAAGCTTAATCATTTCTAGCTTTCGATTTAAAGTATAACTCTTCCATTCACTTGAACATTAGAGACCCCAGCAAGGTTATTAGTTGGCCTAATTTCGGTATTGTTGTGTCTTGGGGAATAAAGAGGCCCAAGGAGAGAGAGACAGACAGGGAAACAGCCAGTTGTGGAGCAGTCAGAACACACAACATTTATTAAGTATGCCATCTTAGATGAGCATGGTTCGTGGTGTCCCCCCAAATTTATAATAGTAACATCAAAGATCACTAATGGTCACAAATCACCGTAACAAATATAGTAATAACGAACAACTTTGAAATATTGGGAGAATTATCAAAATGTGACAGAGTCATTGGAAAAATGATACTAATAGACCTGCTCGTTGCCGGATTGCCACAAACTATCAACCTGTTAAAAAAAAAATGCAGTATTTTTGAAACAGAATAAAGCAGGGTATGCCTGTATTCACGGAGTTGTGTAGCCATCACCACAGTCAATTGTAGAGCATTTTCATCACCATGAAAAGAAACCCCATGCATATTAGAGGTCACTCCCTATTCCCTCCAAGCCCTCCCTCTCAATGCCAGTCAACTACATTCTCTCCATATAGATTTTTTTGGACATTTCACATAAATAGACTCATACACCATATGGTCTTTTATGATTGGTGTCTTTCACTTAGCATTCTCAAAGTTCATCCATGTAGCATGCATTCATTAATACTTGCTTTTTATTGCCAAATAATATTCTGTTGTATTGGGTATACCACACTTTATTTATTCATTCATCTGTTGATGGACATTTCGGTTGTTTCCACTCTTTGGCTATTATGAATAATGCTGATTTGAACATTTGTGTACAAGTTTTTATGTGAACATATGTTTTCATTACTCGTGAGTGGACTTACTGGGCTATAGCACTCTGTTTTACCTTTTGAGGAATTGTCAGACTGTTTTCAAAGCAGCTGCACCATTTTATATTCCGACCAGCAATGTGTGAGAGTTCTGCTGTCTCCACATCTTCATTAACATTTGTCATTGTCTTTTTGATTATAGTCATCATAGTGAGTATGAAGTGTCATCTCATTGTGGTTTTGGTTGGCATTTTCCTGATGGCTTTTCAAGTGCTTATTGTCCATTTTTATATCTTTGGAGAAATGTCTTTTTCAGAACCTTTGTCCCATTTTTAAATTAGACTTTTTTGTTTTCATCATTGAGTTGTAAGTTCTTTATATGTTCTGGATAAAAGTCCCTCATTAGATATATGATTTGCACATATTTTCTCCTATTCTCTGGGTTGTCTTTTCACTTTCTTGATGGTATCCTTTGAAGCAGAAAAGTTTTTAATTTTAATGAAGTTCAGCATACTTACTGTCTTGTTGCTTGTGCCTTTGGTGTCATATCTAAAAAGGCTTTTCCTAACCCTAAGTAAGTCATGAATATTTACTCCTCTGTTTCTTTTTCTAGGAGTTTTATAGTTATAACACTATTTAGATGTATAATCCATTCTGAATTAACTTTTGTATTCGGTGTAAGGAAGGGGTCCAACTTTATTCTTCTGCATGTGGATATCCAACTGTCTTAGAACCATTTGTTAAAAAGATTATCTTTCCCCATTAAATTGTCTTGACACCCTGTCAAAAATAAATGGACTATATGAGATTTCTGGATGTTCAGTTCTATTTTGCTGATCAGTGTGTCTATCCTTCATGATGATCACTCTTAAAAATCATAACCTTTTAATCATCGCTTTCCAACCAGATTTCAGCTTAAATAGAGACCTGGCACCTGTGGCTGTATACAGTTAAAATTCTTTTTCATGTCAGTCTCCCACACAAGATAGTAAGATCCCTCAAGATGTGAATAAGAATTTATTTACACAGTATTCCCCACAGCTAGAATAATTCCTGGCCCATAGTAGGTCTTCAGTAAATATATTTTCTTTTTTTTTTTTTTT